ACTTGGCATCTGTGTGGAGTGCTCTATGTCCGTATTTATATTCGATCTCATTGATGATAGATACGTTGCTAAATGTGTCGATATATCTATGAAAAAAAAGAGGGATCATAGAATGCACATGACACTATTGAGATTTCTATCTGTTTGGCACGCAAACTGGTATTACTTGGACAGCAGTTCTTTATGGTCTTTTACAACAAGCATTTTAGTTTCAGCATGGAGATAGTCAACAAGCGTCATGCGATGGCAGTTCGTTGAAATTCGAAATGCCGTGTATTCGATATTCTAGTTGCTATTGTTTATTCTGGATACAGATTAGACATATGATCTTAAACGATTACCATTACTAATCTGTGGACACCTGTTGGTATGGTCATTTTTGGACATGATGACCGACACTTGGTCATAGAAATTGACGAGTGGCTCCGGGAAGTAGATCTAGCCGCTCCTGAAACCTAACTGTTGTTTCTAAACTATTTTTGTTCATGTTATATAAAAGTGTGTATTGATTGACTGTCTATTATGTGAAGAAGGAAGCTGAACTGGAATGTATCAAGTTAGGAAGAGTTATCTAACGCGTATACTTCTTGTTAATTATTATATTTAGCATTAATATATACATTGTTTGATATGTACTGCTTTTCTTCTTAGTTTAGTCATTAAAAAGATATACAGTGTCAAAACCTCATACGTCAAGAACCAAGTCAACTGGCATATAGTGTAGTGAAAAAAATAAAAATTTTACTTTCTTTTTTTTTTGTTTAAAGACTATTAATGAAAAATTTAAAAATAAACAACTGTTTATATTATTTTTATATTTATTTTTGTGTATATAGTTCTTGGTTATTTAAAGTTGCTAAAGCTTCAAAGTATTTTGACTTCTTCATCAGGTCGGGATAATTAAGCAACTGAATTTACATTCATAGAATTAGAATGCTTATATACATTCATTTGGGTTTTGCTGACTTCTTTCGGTTCTTCTCTCTTTCGGTGTCACTATTCTATTTATGTTTTTTAAGCATATAAATCTATTAGATCAATAACTTCTTGTAAAGTCTATTATTCTGATTTATTCTTTATTCAGCTTTCTCTAACGGAATTTAAACATATATTTACTAACAACTTATCCAGTTTTGTCGCCTATTT